TGATTCAAATAAAACCTTGGAACTTTCTATCAACTGTGTTTCCTACTGACAAATCCAAATTAATGCTAATGTGATGAAATGAAAAGTTCAGATATACTGAACTACTTAATTAATCGTGAAACTTGATGTCAAGCAATTAAAAATGTAACTAACGTCTCTCAGTACTGTCACACACTGGAGAAGTGATGCTTTATGATTTAGTAGTAGCCTGCCCACTACAAAGTTGAAAAATAAGTGTCCTCCGTAGAGTTTAAATTTTTATTTATTGGCTTTGCAGATGCAGTTTGTCTTTCAGATATTTCTACAAAACAAATTGCAGGCAAGCATTCAAGTCCATTTAATGGAAGACAGGCTATCATTTGGTCAGTTAATACATCCTTTTTCATAAGAAAAAGGAAGAATATGATGTTATATTGCTTACTGAATAGAATTCAGACCTGAATAGGTCTGAATAGAAAACGATGTAATTTATTAAACTGCTAAAACAAATTGAGAAAAAAATCTAGAAGTACATTTAAATCATAGAGTGTTGAGTGATTTACGTTTCAATAGGGTATTTGAATTTGATTATCGCTACAGATTCCCACACACAGAGAAAAAAAATAAATCTTTAGCATTATTTTTAATCCCAAAGGATTACAAATGTATAAGGTGTTTTTAAACACTGCAAGTCTCACAACCTTCACAAGCTCAACAAGAACATTATCTCCTTTTCAGTGGGTATGCAGAGATAGGATTTCTTCTCAGTGGATAGTTCACTTAGATATAAAAGAGACATTACAGTATGTGGTAAAATCCTATTTTTTCTAGTATTTTGTTGTGGCTTTGCTATTTAATGATGATTTTAGTAATGATGTCATTACCTTCAGTGGTCATCTTACGTGTAACGGCTGACTGCATGCTATTGCTTTTTCTAAGTTCTACGGTGTTGGAGTCTTCTTCATAGTCTATAGGGAAAAAAAATAGTACCTTAGGTAACTTAAGATATTTCTGAACATTATTTCCATTTGGTGATTCTGTTTCTTGAGTTGCAAAGAGCTTAACAGACTTTAATTCAACTCTGTTTTGTACTGTTACTTTAATCGAATTCTTTAGGGCAGAGGTGTGTGATTCCTGATTGATTACTCGTGGAAACAAGTCAAATCAGGCTTTCTCTTATCAAACTGTAACTTTATGGATTGTATAATGTTTTTGTATTTCTGACTTTGCTGAATTAATAGTTGAGAAAAGTTAACTGATTGAGATAATAACCTAATACAATCATAGAATCATCTGGGTTGGAAGGGACCTTAAAGATCATCTAACGCATCTCTGTAGTTCTTGAAAAAAATTTGGAAGTGATGTAAAACTTCGTTTTTTCTCCTCTGCTTTTCTCCTCTCATCATGCAGTTCTTTACAGTCTACCTGACATTTATTACTTAATCTACTGTGTTTACATAGTTCAACATTACTTATTACAGTTATTGGAACTGAGCAATGAAATTGTCCTTGAACAATAATGCTGAAATGCTAACATATATATTCCTGAAGCAACTCTACAAGGCTACAAACTCTATAAAAATATAGTACCAGACAAGTAGTGGCATAGGACCTTAAAAGTGAGTCTGTGATTTGAAATAAATGCCCAGATTCTAATCTCTTGAAATTCCCCAAGCGCTGAATTTATTAATACCTTGGTTTCCAAACAGCAGTTTTATCTTCTGAGGTAAAAGTGAAGCTTACCATTACAGGTAAGTAAAGAAGTGAGGCTTTGAGTAGCCTCCTGGATGATTTATTACTCCTGGATGCATATTACAACAAAGATAAAACTTTGTCTGAAACTTGTTTCCTTTCCTACACTTAAGCTTGTCCTTTGCTTCTGGTACCATGGACATAAAAACCATTGATGAGAATGAGCACATTAGTCTCTTTCTCTGTCAGTGCCATTCCTGTGGCCTGAAGGAATCTTCCCTGTCTTCCTTGCTATTGCAATGAGAATGGTCCTAGAATGGTCCTGCTCTGGTACTAGATTTGACATTTTTACAGTCCATTTCAGTTGCTTCCTGACCTCTAGGCAATCATGTTCTCTTCCTGATGGACCTTATGGACTGACAAGTTTTGATGTTAGCAAACAGAGTACCTGCAGATATTTATTTTTGCCTGAGGTAGCATGTGTTCTTGGGGGGCTTTTTGTGGCTTCTTATGGGGGCAGGCTGTAAAATATTAATACTAGTTTAAAAAAAAAAAAAAAAGTAAGTCCAATTGTGATGATATAATACTAGTTTAAAAAAAAAAAAAAAGTCCAATTGTGATGCTCTCCTCAGGTAAAATATCCACAAGTCAGGACATCTCATAGAAATGTTATTTACTTTACAGGTGCTTGATCTTTATTTATTTATTTATTTTTTAAATACCCAGTTCTGTAAAATTTAGTTTGGTGAGCTGATACTGAAGTAATCTTAAGTTTTCTTTGCCTTTTTTTGATTGACTATTGAACCAAAAATTCAAATCTAGTCAAATTCTTGTTTATCTGGGCTGATTACATGAAGGAACATCAGTTAATAGCAAATCTATTTCAATACACTATAATCTTAATTGTAGTAATTGCCACATTAATATGTATGTAATGTTCCTTAGAGAATGATAGTAATTGCCACATTAATATGTATGTAATGGTCCTTAGATAATGTTTTTTTTTTCTGTACTCATCTTTTATTTAATTTTTACTGCTAACAGAACCAAATAATTGTGGTTTTTAGCAAGTTTTAAAGTTAGTTAGTTAGTTTGGAGTGTAATACTCCCCACCCCTATAGGTATTTGTCCTGTTGGACTTTCATGCCAATTTGGAATCTAGTGAGATTGGGATATTCAGTATACACTGAATGTAGTTTGTGTTGCAGTTTTCAAAAAGGTGAAATATTTCAACATACACAGTATAGACACCATAGTTATTATATTTCAAGACTGAAAACTCCATATTCTTGAAATAATAATTTTCAGAAACTTCAGATACACCCCTGTTGTCTATTATGTATAATACTGAATGAAAATTAAGATTATTTTCTTCTTTAAAAAATTAGTCCTTTTTTTTTCTGATTTTTGCTGTCTTGATTAGAGCTTGAAAATAACATTACTCTCTTTATCCTTGTTATTGGTTTATGAACATTTATTGTCCAACTTTCTAAGATAATGAATGCTAAAGAAATACAGCTACTTAAGGTAATGATAATGCTGGAATTGTGATTATTGAAGCATAAATGGTTATTTTGCATAAATAAGCCCTTCACCAATAATACTGGCTGTGTTGGGTAGGTTATTCATAGGGTCACAGGACCATAAAATAGTTCAGAGTGGAAGGGAGTTAAGAATGTCTCTGGTCCAACATCCTGAAAACAGAGATTGCTTTATCTTTTTGGGAAATATGGTCTAGTTTCTGACTTCCCACATCATGGAAAAGTTATTCCTTATGCTCAGCCTGAACTTGAACTTGTCTTTCGTCTGTCTGCCTGACTACTGTGAAGAGCCTGGCTCTGTTTTCTTGATGAATTCACTGTAGGTATGGGCAGGTGGCTGTTAGGTTCCCCTGCAGCACTCTCTTCTGCAGATTGAACAGCCTCATTCTCATCCTCTCCTCACCTCCCAACAGGTTATTCCGTGCCAGGTGCAGAACTCAACATTTATCCTTATTGAATATTGTGGTGTTCCTGTTGATATGTTCTTGGAGTTCCTGTAAGTCAATGACCTCCTTCACGTAATTGATAAAGGTCTTAAATAAGATAGATCCCAGGACAGAACCCTGCAGTACCCAACTTGTTTCTGGTCTCCAGTTAGAGCTGGGAGTGAGGAAACTCATGGGTCAAGGTAAAGCAGGAAAATCACTGGCAAATTACTGGTTTGGGCAAAGCAGACTCTAGATGGGGAATTTAACTTTATCAGCTGTTAACATAGACATTTAATTACTGATTTGAGTATTGGAAACAAAGAAGACATATACTTAAAAACTTAGGGAAAACACCTTCCCCTTTTCCAGGCTCCAGATACCTTTCCTTCCCCATTCCTAGTCTCCACTGCAGCTGGAGACATGTTATCACCATCAACGCAGGTTACACTCAGTCCCTTCAGATGGATGATGCAGGTGGTTGGGTTGAGGACATAGTGGTTTCTTTCTGCCATTCCTTCTTTCTAACTCCTTTTTTCCATTACTGCTGCTTCTGCCCAAATAATTTTCTCTGTTCCTCTGTGGGTTATCCACAGGCCACAGTCTTTTTTTGGGGTGTACTAGCTCTGGCAAGGGCTTATGCATGGGGAACAATCCCTTTAGGGGTGTTACCAACTGTTCCATGGAACACTTCCTATTGCTCTGGCATTCTTGTCTATTGATATTCCAAGAGATGCCACAAATTCCTTCAACTGGCTCATTAGGTCCATTATGGAGTCAGCTAGAGCTGTGTCTATCACAGCACAACTCCTGACTCCCCTCCCACAGAAGTCACCCCTACAGCCATCTCCTGCTACTTGCTATTTATACCCAATGCTCTTGAATACGAGAATATTGTGGGAGGCAGTGTCAAAAGTCTTTGTGAAGTCAGTGTGGTTACCACCCAATGTTCTTCCCTCATCCACAAAGCTAATAATTTTATCCTAGAAGGCAGTAGGGTTGGTCAGGCGTGTTTTACCCTTGGTCAGTCTACGCTGATTGTTCCCAGTCATTTTATTCTCATTGAGTTTTTGGTTTTATGTTCCTGTGTATTTCTATCATTTTTTCTTTTTTTTTTCTTTAATTTTGTCCTCAATTTTGGGATGTGAGGCTGTTATCCTTTGTGTAACTTCTTTTCTTTATTTTGCTTGTTTCCTGCACCTCTATATATAGTCCCATTCAAAAGTCAAAATGCTTACCTGAAACTTTTCAGATTTGTTGAACAGGTTCTGTAGTATGGAATGAGAAAACACAAAACCTGAAAGTATAAAATTTAAACTGATAAATGTCAAAATGTATTCACAACGTACTTTATATTTTTCAGCTCTACTTCAAGTTACAATTTCACTTAGCAAAGTTGAGCTCAGTGTGGGTGAATCCAAATTCTTCACATGCACAGGTATGTATTCAATTTACTTGTAGGTATGTATTTTTTGTTATAGTTTTAACCATCTACATAATTTGAAACTTAATTGATTCACAATATTAACTTAAATTAGCATATTTTTGGATAGTCACATTGACTTTTGAGAATTGTGATAAATAATAGATCATCACTGGCTTCATGTTTCCATTCTATAAACCATTCATTTCACACACTGAATCTCTCAGTTTGAATTGTCTATATCAGTGCAGGTAATTTGATCTGTTAGGAAGCTTCTTTAGTTAAAACATTTTCACTTGTCTAAACTAAGGAGTTAAATAAGCTACTAGGCTAAGCTTAAGTATCCTCTCCAATCTAATGAGACACCCAAGGAGTCTTTTCTAATGAGGCAGATACCACTCAGTAGGAGAAGGGTTTGCATTAGCAGCTGCCTCATGTGGATCCTTGATGTTGCTGTGTTGCCATCTTCCATTGACGGCACATGGCCTGACTACACTGACAACTCAATTGAGTGATGAATTGACGTGTTGATCCCGTGACTGCTAAACACCCTTCTTTCCTTTAAGACTTAATACCTTTCTGTGTTTCATTTTTTTCCTTCTTGAATCCTTGAGCTATTAGTTATCCTGTCTCAGCAATCTTACATCTGCCAGCAGTTTTCCCTTGCTTTTATTTCTACTGACTTTCTTACAACTCTCATAATTTAAAAATTCTCTGACATTGCATAGACATTGTCCATTGGGTAGACATATGTGTTACTTAATCTTGATCTGAAGTTCTAATGTTGGATTATTTTTTTTAATTTTGTTTATAGCCATTGGTGAACCTGACAGCATAGACTGGTACAATCCACAAGGAGAAAAGATTGTTTCTAGTCAAAGAGTGGTTGTTCAGAAAGAAGGTGTTCGATCACGTCTAACCATTTATAATGCAAATATAGAAGATGCTGGTATATATCGGTGTCAAGCAACAGATGCTAAAGGACAGACTCAAGAAGCTACCGTTGTTTTGGAAATTTATCGTAAGTAAAGTATTATCAATTAACAAATGAAAGACTATTTTCAGATAAGTCAGATAACAAAAGACATGCAATTAAAAAACAATCTATTGACAAAACAACCATTAAAATGATAATGGCAGTTAAAAGAGATTACATGATGGCTTGAAAGCTGGCAGTTCAAAAGATTTCATATTTTGTACAATTCATTTGTGTGCTTAAAACTGCCAGTCACTCCTTTAGCAGACTGCTGAGCAAGGTTGAAATCTTTTGAAGTGTTTGTATGTGGTAATTTTAATAATTCTGAGGTTAGATAAACCGAAAGACCTACACAAGAAATGTGAAGGTTTGTTGAAACTGACATATGAAAGTTTCCTTATTTGTATTGTAAGGAAACAGCAGGATACACTGTACACCTAGGGTCTGGTTCAGTGCTCACTGACGTCTGTGAGAGTTTTCCTTTTTGAATTACATATTGTCAAATACTTCAAACATTTCATACAAACACTTTGTAAAATTAGACAAGAGATGCGTACAACAAAAGCGTGTTCCCTCTGCTATGGGCACTGTGTGGATTATTTGAGCCTGCACTCATATCGATGCAAAAAGGTGGGGGTGGAGTTGCATCTCTGACTTAGGTTCTTCAAAGTGTCCTCTGAAATGTAATTGACAGTCCTTGATCCTAGAGAACATAGGTCAGTTTGTTTCTTCCGTGTGTAAGAAAATCTTCCAGAACTTTTAGTCAGGTTTCTGCCATTGTATCTTGTATGAGATGATGGATTAATGTCATCTTGGACTTTTAACACTAAATTCTAATAATACTAAACTTATTCAACCCACAAATAAATTTAATATCAAGTTTGGTTATTTGGGGTTAGAATATTTAAGAGCCTCATCAGGCCTAAAAAAAAAAATCTTATTTCCTAAAAAAAAATCTACAAATTTTTATGACTTATGAGTAATATTAAGTTTTTATGGATTACGAGTAATATTAAGTTTTACCATATATTTTCCCACTGGATTTTAAGTTTTTATGTTTTATTCAGCTGATTGTTTTCACAGGCAGTGAGCCTAAAGTTCTAGATATTTAATAAGAATTTTCCAAATAATTTTTGGTGATTTTGGTGGAAGTTTTGATGGAATTGAAACATGAAGTTTTAATTCAATAATAAGATCATGAAGAATAAAATGCACAAGAGTGAATAGACTACTAACCTGAATTTATAGACCTCTAAAAAAACTAGAGTTTCAAAACTAGACTCTGGGTTTTCATAATACAATATGATTGTAAAATCCTTTCTACAGACAAAGTGGAAGTTGTGTCCAGAACTGTTTTAGTCTTATCTGGAAAAATGATATGGAAATAATTCTGTATTATCTCAATGAGAAGTCTTAATAATTGTCTTTATCTGATTTGGTGTAATGGATAATTTTAATGCTAAATGAACTGGAAAATGCTTACTACATTCTGCTTTCTTCCTTTTCAGAAAAGCTCACTTTCCGAGACATAATATCTCCACAAGAGTTCAGGCAGGGAGAAGATGCAGAAGTTGTTTGCCGTGTTACTAGTTCACCTGCTCCCATTGTCAGCTGGTTGTATCGGAATGAGGAAGTCACAACTATTGCTGACAGTTAGTATTTTGGTAACTCTTTAAGTTATATATTCTAATAGATATTAAAATATTATTGTAAAAGACAACTAATCACATTATAGAGGAGGATGGATTTTGATAGGCCCATCAGCTTAAGTAGAATTTTACCAGGTTCTGTGGTCTACAGAGAATCCACATGCGATGGTTTCCTTCTTGGTCATTTTTTTCCAATTGAGAATTTTTTCTAGATGTGGGTCTAGATGAGGGTCCAAATGCCCAAAAGATGGCTGGGAGCTCCTTCACAGGAACTCTTCCTGGGTTCTCATGTATGTAGGAGTTGAACGCATTTTTTAAACACACACAGATGAACTTCACTGTGTACACAAAGCTGTGACACTGAGCAAACACTGCATTGACTTAGATATACTCGCACGTTAGCTCAGAGACTTTCAGGTGGATAGGCTTTTTGCACTATTGTGAGATTTTACTTGTTACCCTTTCAGTTACAAACGACTGGGGATATTGGTGATCTATTTAGGCTAGATTCCCTGACAGCTAGACTGATAATGATCAATCTTTCTTTCCCCACATGCAAGTTCTAAGGTTGTAGAGAGAGACAATTAATGAGGGATATAGAATTTGTGTGATTTACCCCCTCAAAAAATGTGAACTGTTTTTTTCAGTGCTTTGTCAATACTCTGCTTTGCTTTATCCATTTTCTCATCAGTCTTTATCTCTGCATTCAAGATTTGGCAATTTAGCAAAAAAACTTTTTTCAGATGCAGCTCAGAGCTTGAAAAAGTAGAAGTGCTTCAAAGATCTCTCTCAATTTTTTTTTTTTTATTATTGCCATTTTATTTGTTTTTCCAATCAATCTGGCTGCTGTAGGATTAGAAAATGAAATAAAACAACATTGCCTTTCTTTTTCAAAATTATACATTCTGAAGATTCTAAATTTTTAAATTTCAAGGTGTAAATTTGACTTTTTAACCATTTTCTTTCATGATGCTTACAATTTGAAAAGGTAGAAAGATAGAATTCAGGTTTAATTTAAATAGAAGAATTCTTTCCTTATGTTCTGATCTAGACTAGTGTCCAAATAAGATCCCAGTCATGCTTGGGAGCAAGTGAGGTTTTAAATAATGCACAAATAGGACATCATTTACTTTGTGAGTTTTGCAATGTCTATATCAGTTTATAATGCAGGTGGAAAATGACACAAGTCTTACCATTAAGAAATTTTTTTCATGCTTTGTGAAATAAAAAGACTCGGTTTAATATTACATTTCCAGCTTCAAAATCTTCAGTGAAGGATCCCCACCTGTAACTTATTATGATTTTAAATTAAATAACATCAAATAACATCAACTTTGTCTGTCATATTCTACATGATATCTATTTAAAAAAAAAAAGTAACTAATTGTTCTTGTTGGGTCTTAGTTCAGAAAACTGAATGATTCAGAAATAAAACTGATTCAGAAATAATGAATGATTTAATATCCAGATCAAATTGCATATTGTAGTTTATTTGTGGGGCATGAGAAAACAATTTCAATTTTAAGCATTCTAGCACTGGCGTAATAGGAAGACATGAGATAATGTCATTGGTTTAATGAGGGCTTTTCTGTTACATTCTTGACCATTCTTCTGTTGTATGTGTTACAACTAATAGGATTTTTGGATCACAGGCTTTTGACTATTTCAGTTTTGCAAACTCTTCTCATTTAATAGTATCTATATTTGTGTATTCCATTTGAACAGAAGACTGATTTCTTCTCCCAGAAGGCCTACGCACAAAATCAGAAGTGAAAACAATGACCTCCAAAAGCACTTCTGGTCTTACATTGTATGTTTAAGGTTTAATAGAGCAGTATATAAAGCATGATTTTCTGAGGATGTTCTAAGAATTTCTCTATTGTTATCAAGAGCTGAATTATCATGACTCATAATTCCATTGTATGGGAGTCAGGGACGTTTTATTAGCTATAAAAGTGAATGGGTCTGTTTTCATTGGTCAGCTCTTAATGGAGTTTTTAGTGACTTGATCTGTTTTGCACATTTCTTAGGCTTCAAAGGCCATTAAATAACACTCTTCTACAGTACTTAAAGCCAATGTAGAAATTTCACGTACAGATATTTGTGTATTATTTTATGGTTGGAGTTAACCTTAGAAGGTGGCTAATGCCACTGTTAATACAAATATGCTACATATAAATTACACATTATCTGTATGAATAATGCATATTTTATTCCGTCACTGCTCAAATCATTAAGGTTTTCTATAAACATAGCATAGGTATGGTATGAAACTGTAATGCATGTGGAAAATTGTATCTTGTATAGAACTGGGTAGAAAATGTGGGGGACTGGTGCATCCTTCATATTTTCTGTATGCTTTGATATATTTTATTGTTTTACAGCCTTGCTTATGTAATTCTGTTAGGTTGGGGGTTTTGTCCTCACATAGGTATTTTTAGTAAGTAAGATGATTCACAAAACCACAATTTATATATGATAAAGGATTCTGAAAATCTATTAGAATTTACTTTTTGAAAATGCATCTTGTTACAGTTTTAGGGAACTGCATATTATCTTAGGATTGGTCCATAGAAAAAGCACACTCTCTTATTCTGAAGGACTAGATAAAACAGACTTCAAATGAGCCAGACTAACGCTTTAGATCATATTGAGAAGTCTGTGGCAAGCCAGTTCTGCTCCTTCCTCCATGTAGTCTAGTCTCCAAGAACTAGGTTGACCACTTCTAGTCAGTAGTTTGTGCAGTTCTAATTATAGTGGTGGAAAAAATTGGTGACATTGCTTTGCAGAGCCAATGTAGACTTGTTAAAGACACTTGTGTTAATGATAATGTTAGATGGTTAACGTGCTGTGTTTACATTTGGTCTAGAAGAAGAGATTACTCGGTTGCAAAACAGTCCCTCCTGTAGAGAATGAATGGTTTGGTTGTATGATGGACATATTTAATAGGAGTCTTGGCCTTCAATTTTTGCTGAAAGTTTTGATTTTTCTTCAACTGGTGATTAGTCTAGAACATGACTTAGAATGAACATTTTGTTAGACATTGTGAGTCATAGCCTGGTACATACCCTAGAACACAGTAAAATTTGCAAAACGTAAGCCAAAAATTCCTCAAGCTCTGCGTACGAGGTACTGAAAAGGCATAGGCAATCCCTCTTGCTGTCCATACCACTTAACATCTGATTTGATTGAAGGGGAAAGTGGTGTGACAGTTCTTCTAAATTAAGCATTTGACGTTGAGTGAATTGAGTCCAGAAAAGAGAGTGGTGAGCTGGAGGAGTGTAGTGCCCAGTCACTGTCCACATCCACCAACTGTAATCCATTTAGTATAGGACACAATTTTTATTATATCTATGACACAGTGAACTCTATCAGTGTGCACACCGTCTCCATGTTTTATGTTGTATTACTAGTTTATTCTACTGCTCTGAACCTACTGGGTGTTCCATAGTACATGTGAGTCCATCAATACCTAATCACTGTCTGTCAAGATTTCAGTACATTTGTTGACCCATATGGTCTACACACAAGTGATTCCTGCTGAATGAGAATCGTATCATTGTATGCTTGGTGGCATTTTTACTGCAACATGAACTATTCTTTCACAAGCCTACCAAGGGATAAAACATAGAGAGCAACAATTTCTAAAGAAAGTCACACATTCAACTCACATTCCATTTTTTAAGTTCCCTTACAATACAATGTATTAATTTTGTCTGTATGTAGACATTATTACCGGTGGAAAAAGGACACAAAATATTTTTATTCTGTTATACCTAGTTTACTCATGAGAATATCTCCTGCTGTATCCATTATATTATTCTTCAATGAAAATTGAAGATATCCAGCCAACACCTATAGTTTTTGTTTCCTGTTATTAGACTGTTATTATATTACTATTAAATCCTGTTATTAACTCTCATTTTTCATCATTTTAAAGAAGTAAAGGTGATCTCCAGCCCTCTCGTTCATCTCACACATTAAATATTTGTGTGAGATAAAAAAAAAAAAAAAAAAAAAAAAAAAAAAAAAAAAAAAAAAAAAAAAAAACAACAAAAAACCAACCAAACAAAAAAACCCAGAAAAAAAGGTTACCAATTCTTAAAGAGGGGCTAGATCTCACCTTTTCAAAACATTTTGAAGCACAGCTCTCTGGGACAGGAAAGAAAAAAGATAATTCGTATGTGGTAGTGTGTGAAATGGCATTAATGTTCAAGCATGACTTTCATAAACCAGATATAATTAGCATAAATTTGTTGAGGCCATTGATGTCCTGTAATCCTCTATCAGGTGAAGCATAATTAAATTTTGTTTTTACATTTTTCTGATAGAGATCACGGTAATGAAACAGAACCGACATGGCATAAAAAGCTGGTTTATTTGTAAATATGTATGTATATGTATTCTCTGAATAGACTCTTAGCTGTATAACTACATAAGAGCTTTTCTACCAAGTATTGTTTAACACTGTTTTTGAATATTAGTGTTCTGTTGTAGGAAATCTTTAAAAATCTAGCAGAATCAAAAAGGAAAGCAAAGTGAAAAATGACACTCAGTTGCTAGTTAAGAACTGAAAGTAAATTTCATCATCCTCCAATACTGAAAGGGTGACACTGGCTCAACTAGAACAAGACAGACAGCTGAGTAACAAGTATGCAGGTTCCTCAAAAACCACATACAGTGAACTGCAGGAAGTAATTCTCCTTAAAGGAGTCCATTAATATTGACTAGTTATGGTGGGTTGATCTTGGCCAGCTTCCAGGCACCCACCCAGCTGCTCTCTCACCCTCCTCAAGAGGACAGGGGGCAGAACATGAGCTGAAAAAGCTCGTGGGTGGAGAAAAGGGCAGGGAGATCACTCACCAATTACCAGCACGGGCGAAACAGATTTGAATTAGGTAAAATAATGTAATATATTGTCAGTTAAATACAGTTGAATGGTGAAACACAAAGACAAAATTAAAGCAACACCTCCCACCTCCTTTTCCCCAGGCTCAACTTCACTCTTTCATTGCCAGCTCCTCTACCTGCCACATCTGAAGCGGTGCAAGGGGATGGGATTGTGGTCAGTCCATGATGACCCAGTTCCAGTGTGGGTCCTTCCCGTGGGCTGCTTGTGCAGAGTAAACTTGCTCCAGCATGGGGATTTCCACAGACTGCCATGTGGATATCTGCTCTCTTCTGAGGGGGGGGCGGATCTCTGCTTCAGTGCCTGGAATACCTCCTCCCCTTCCTCCTTCTGTCATCTTGGTGCTTGCAGGGCCGTCTCTCATTTTTCTCATTTCTCTCTCTCATTTTTCTCATTCCTCTCTCTCACAGTTACTGCACAACATTTTGCTCTTTCGTGCACAAGCTTTCACAGAGGTGTCACCACCTTGGCTGTGGGGCTCAGCTGTGCCTTGTAGTAGGTCTGCCGGAGATCGCTGGAGCCAGCTGTGTCTGGCACAGAGCAGGCCTCCTGCTGCCAACATCTTGCCACGTAAATCCAATACACTAGCTCAGACAGAAAGGAGAAAAAAATTAAGTTCAGATTCAGTTTAGTCTTGCAGATTATAATTTTGCTGCTGCACGTGCAAGAGAGCGTATGTACACTTGTTCAGAATCTGATTTTTTTCAATGAACTTAAGATACTCATAAGGTCTATTGAATTTCATTATATGCTAGACTATGCAGAAGGTGCAGTGGTTTGTTAGATTATGTCTTCATGGAAGTATTATACAGTGGTGAGATACATCGACTGAGTAATAGTGAACGAACAAAGGAGCAGGAGAAGGGAAAGAGAGCGAGCAAGCTGTGAAATGATTAAGCATAGTGTGGTAAAATGGGCACAAAACCAGTTTATTATTTTAGATGGAGAGGGAAGAAACATTTGAAACTTATTTTATTATAAATCACTCAATTTATCTTTTTTCAATCTCTTTAATCTTTTTTGATAGTTTGTGTAGGTGTTCATGAATGTTCCACTAATTTTGCAATAATCTATATATTTAACTTACATTTGATGACTCCTCAGAGAAAGTAGGAAGTTATGTATAGAAAATCCAGATTGAATTTTAGGAAATGGCGATGGATTTTGGAGTGGAAAAAAAAAAACAACCAAATTTCTTGGCTGACATTTTACTTTTAAATTGACAAATGTTTTGTCAATGAGCATTCTGATTGTACAGAGAAAGCACATAAATATTACTCATTTAAATTAGCGTTCCTCGTATTGTCTTGATTTACTAACCCCACTTATTTTCTTACTTGCCTTTCTAGATCGATTTGCAGTATTAGCAAATAATAATCTCCAAATTCTTAACATCAATAAAAGTGATGAAGGAGTATACAGATGTGAAGGGAGAGTTGAAGCCAGGGGAGAAATTGACTTTCGGGACATAATTGTTATTGTGAATGGTAAGAAGTAAAATATTTTTAATTGACTTATTGCTTTACTTAATTTTCATAGCCTACTTTAAAATCTGTTTTGTAAAAGTTTGTTTGTAAAAAATGCTGATTAAACTGGTTAATATAGTTGTGATGTCTTTAGTATTGTTTTCCTATAAATGTAATTGCTTAATATTTTAAAGAAATCTACTACACTCTGTAAATAGAATTCATTGCATTTCATCATGTCAGAGTACATAAATATGTAAAAGCTGGATTATTGTTTTTAATCATTCACAGAACATTGACAATTACTGCAAAACTTGAATTTCAGATTATAATACACAGTAGTTCATTTCACCCTGTATTTTTCAGTGTTTTGTCATTTACTGCTAAAATGCCACACTTTATTTTTTCAGTTATTCACCTTCTATGCATTGAACGTATTTTGTTAACTGTTTCAAAAGTCACAGATACAATTTATTAAGATTAACAGTGTTCCTTGTAGACTTTTAACATTTTATTTTTATGAGGAATAAAATAAATAATGAGTTATCTGAGAAGTGGCTTTATACATTTTATCAGTTTATAATAAACCTCTAAGATGGAATATGGATGGATTAAGATGAGATGGAGCATTTAGCTCAAGCTCTCTCTTCAATTCAGCGTTGACCTGTTGAAAATAAGTATCTCTTCATATATTGTCCAGAAAGGTCACAGTTCCTAAAGGGCATTTTTTATCTATGCATTCTGCTTAATGTCAGTTTATCAATGAAACTACTTCCATCGTGCCTACTAGATTCTGAGTTTTAAATGCTTTGTCCTTGACTGGTCCTCCTTGGCAAATGCCAGTTTATGGAAGTCATTATGTAAGTTGAATTATCAGTTAATTTCAAGAGAAAGACCAGTTTCTGGCACTGGTATTATTTAATCCACATAGTCAATCTTTGAAGCAGAATTCCTTAGATTGTGGTAGATAGTACACAGACAATGGCAAACAAATGGGTGATTATACTACATATTGTGATAGAATATAACAGTACAGATATTTATATGCTGTTGAGCTCAGAATGAACCTGTATTTGACCTGAAACTTCAGATTGCAAACTATGGTCTGACTTCAAATCTTTTATGGGTGGATTACATCCACAAATTTAGATCTTCATATATTTATTATGACTCTAGATAAGAAAGCTAACACTCAATTAGCTCTGGACTTCAGTTCATGATGTTGTGAGGTGAAGGGGTTGCCAATTGAGTGATTTTGACATGGTTGCTCATGTAGAGTGGTATCAATTAAGAGCTATTTTCTGCTTCATTTATATATAAAACTGAATGTATTAAACTTGGCCTAAAATTACTTTTAGAGTAATACTAAAAGTTACAAAGAAAGAAAAATTGTAGTGCTCTTTGGTGAAAAGGAAAGCCTTTGAATGAATCGAATTCAGAAAAAGAAAAGGAAAAACAAAGGAAAAAAAGGAGCAATCTCTAGACCAGTAAAAGCTACATGGCTGTATATTCTACCATGTCTCCTTTTTCAGAAAAAAAAAAAGCAAAAGCAATAGTGATTACTTTGGATGATAATCAAAGGTATAAAAAAGAAAAAAACATCATGACAGTATTTGTATGTAGAAACCATTCAAATTTAGAACTTTACTCTTTATTTGTTTATACTGTAGTAGTGCCTACAGGATCTATAGAAAGATCTAAGATCTATACGAATGCATAGTAAGAATCGCGCAAGGTCTCCAAAGCTGCATAAAGTGCAGCTAAACAAAAAAGAATTAGGAGCACTTCAGGAGAGCTAGCACACTGTGTAACCCATAATTTTATATTTAAAAATATATTTGTGAGAGTCTGTAGGGAGAGGTGAATATAGAGAATGATAAGATTAATAATGAAATCAATAACGTTAGTCTATGCTTTCACATATGTATTTAGGGTTTACAGAGAAAATACATTTTCGGGAGGAACATAGGGGCTGATATTGTAGCTTTGCTGATTTCTTTGGAGAGCAGCAGAATTATCCATGTATGATGTTTCTCTAGTGCAAACATTGTATGAATGTTACTTTCTAAACAACTTCTTCATTATATAGCAAGAGTTGATATTGTTTCTATTTCTGCAAATATGATTTGTTCCAATGCTTGTACACTACTCAAAAATGTAAGCTATGGTATAACAGTGTGAAATCTCAGATTCCCATTTCCAAGAATAGTGACAAAGATTTAATTAAAACAGAAACTATTAGCTATCCTTTAACTCACTGTCTTCTAGTTAAAATATTATCTATGGTGCAGGTGACCCATACAGGGCAAAAATTTGAAGATCACCTCTTCTGTGAACAAGTACTTTATTTAGTACTGTTTCTCTATCTCTTTGTTGAACTAAAAAGAGAGGACAGAGAGAGTGGAAACACATTGTGAGAGGCTGAGGGCACCCGAGCTTTAAAGCAAGCTGATGAGGACCAGTCTCTCAGGGGTAGATGATATGTGATCAAATCCTCTCAAGAAAAGGAGAAAATTAAACCTAGAATGAAACCTATGAATCTCCTATTTAAGAACAAGAGGTAAGTTCCCTCTTGGGCCATTTTGGTCATAACTGAGTCATCTCTGCCCATGTGGATGGTACTTGCCTGTGGAATGGTTTCTTGTGCTGTGTGGAAGCAAGAAAAATTAACCACCACTAGAACTATTACTGTAAAATGAAGGATTAGACCTTGCAACCACCAAAATAAAACGGTGAAAAGCCACTTCCTGAATGATTTAAGAGCATGTTGCAGATTCATTCTTTCTTTACCTGAAGTTAGGTGACTGTACCCATATATAGGTACCGAAGTAGCAGAAATTTTCACAGTTGATGAAGCAGCATGTGCAGGTGATGTTGACTAAGTGGAAATGAATTGAACTTTTTAACTTAGATAACCAAATGGAATGTTATTATTTTCCTTACTAACAGTGACTTCCTAAGAAACTGAAATTAGGTGACTTTGAGCATTTTTTATTGTATTTTTATTTTTAGTGAATTAATTTCTTACAAATTTCTTACATAAAAAAGCAAATTTCTCATTTTGTAATTGTGATATAAATTTAAAACAGTCGAAATCTTGGAGTTAAATAGTGGGCACTTATAACTATACATAAAGATAATGTTTTAGAGATGTGTCTTGTTTTGAAGAGAAGGAATTAACAAAGACAATGGGGTGTATCTATTTCTTCCATTTTCCACTCCATCTGGATGCTAAGCTGGTTGACATAACATTGGCTGATTCAGATCTGAGAGAGATGTGAACAACAGTAAGAAGAGATGAAATGGATAGCATTTCCATCAGACAGTAGTAGAGTATGTTCTCTTCTATACCTTCTATGTTCTCTTCAAACTAGCTGATCAAAGCAGCAGTCTCAGGTGACTCAGGTCACGTGCAATAGTTTTAAAATCTAAAAGCTGTAAAAAAAAATATTTTTAAAGTTATATTCTGAGTTCTGGTTAGTGTTGCAAAACCGTGACGAATAGTTTGATGGTGAAGGCTGTGAAATGCAAAACAAATCCTAACAAATCCAAAACAAATTACTAACTTACGTAAAAGAAGAAAACTGAGTAAATTTGCAGAGGAAGTTTTAAAATCTGTTTGCCTAGATTATTGGCCCACAAATGTGGGCCCAGGGTTCATTGCCCCACGGACATGGTATTTCCATATCCAATCTGTAGCCCAGGAAATTTCAGATAGGAAAGAAGTGATCTGTGAAACAGACTTAACATAAAAAAGTGCAAAAACAACTAACAGTAAGTAAATATATGTTAGAAAACCTTTTTAGTTTTAGCTGACTGTTCATTATATTGGTTGTTTTTTTGAATAATGCTTTAAAGATTACATACAAACAGAATGCAACTTTGCTCAAAAATAGATAAAAGTTAATCTTGGAACAAATTTTGATATATAAAATGTAGTTTCTAATGTATGGAAATGTTTGGGAGGTGATAAATTGAAATACCTTTGAGCTATATTATCTCTTTAAAATCTGTTGCTTAGGTATCTTTTTCTTCTTGCAACACTGAACTTTTTATAGCATTTCTTTTCTACCCATATTTAGAGTGATGTCTAGATAGCAGATTTTTGTAAAAAAAAAAAAAAAAAAAAAAGTCAGTATAAAGTAGAACAAAAGAATTCAAGTTCTCCTGAAAACAAAAACCTATTTTTTGTTCTTTCTCTCAGTAAATGGGCTTATTAGATTTATTTTAAGTTTTCTTTGCTGTCAGGGAAGTTCCATAAATTTTATAGGCTTCCTGACCACCCTGATATAAATAAAAAAGATTTTTTTTCAGTTAAAAGTGACTGGATTTTACCATTTTGCTTTAAGTTTGAAATGTGAGAGACTTGCCAGTATGGCTTCATTTGGCTTTTCCTCTTTTAGGTTCACACTTTAGTTCCACCCTATGTACATTCAAGAACAGAACCAAAGATGAACAGTTCTCTTCCCAGAAAGAATGATGAGAAAACCAAAATTTGATATTTTAAAAGAAAAATAATTTTTCATTTCATTGTCACTGCAGTATCTCTTGAAGATTGAAGCGTTTAAGTAATGTGCTTAACCAAGTCTCAGTCCTGTAGTTCCTAGTTGTGACCAGTGAAGAACTCGCTACTGCTGGCTAAGAATTATTTCATCCCCTCATGTTACTGAGTATATTTTCATGTCTAGACAGTAGAATGCACTGCAAAATGGCTAAAATGTATATAAAGTTTCCTAAGTGACGTTTTTTCATGGGAGACTTTGCTCAACAGAAGGGGTTTGTATGCCGAGTAATGGCCCTTGCAATTTCAGATAGGAAAGAAGTGATCTGTGAAACACTTAAATTAAAGCACGTCATTAAAAAGTGTGAAAAGTACATCATTTACTTACTGATCATTGATAATTCTGGTACAGTATTTTTTAATATTTTGATATATTTAAGGTTCAGAAGCTGTGAAGGCTTCTGAAGGAGAATACTAGAGCTAAAATATTTGGTGCAAAGCAAGAGAAGTTGATTCTTAACAGTTTATGAGAAAAATCTGTGGAAGCACAAGGGGAAGCTACAAGCAAATTTATTGGGGTTGCTTGTTTCTCCTCTTTTCTGTAGTGAAAGTTAAAGCTAAAAGGGATAACTCGGAGTCACTCTGATGACAGAGCGTTCTTGCTAGCAGAGACATATTTTGTGAAGCTCTAATCTTTTCCTGTTCTTCTTGCTTTCCCTGACCTTCCTTCTTTTCCACATATCCTCTTCCTTCCTGTCTGCTGGGATAGTTTTTATTTGTTTATTTGCTTCACAGTTAATGGAAACAGATTTAGGGCAGTTGTCTTAAAATTACTGTATGAACAGAGATATTAAATATGAGCTTGTGAGTTGTTCTGTCTTGAATATTACTTCTATTTTTTCTGTCGGGTAGACATTCTCTTTGAACTGCTACAATTTTAATAATACTTCAAGAGCAGACAAAATTTGTTGCTCTCTGAACAGAATTAAAATTTTTGGAAATACAATTTTCACGAATAAATTGTGTCCTTTGTGTTCTATCACCTTTCATCTTTTGAAGCTGGTGGTACTCCTGCCCAGAAATATGCAGTAGTTCAGTAAAAAGAATTAAATATGCATAGCCAGGTAATAAAAAGTACTACATACTTCTTTAAAAGCACTGTCTGACATCAATACATGGTTGTATGTCAGCTTTATAAATGAATGAAAGATAAAAATGAGTAGAGATAACATTTTCATTTGAGATACTTAAATACCGTATGATACCAGTTATAACTCTGTTGAGTCATATACATGCTAGGTATAACTTCAGTTACTTTAAAATTTTCTGTAACAAAATTGAAGAACTGCTAAAAAAGACCTTTAAAATTAATTCCAAGGCAAAAAAAATATAAATTTCCTGTTAATATTAAAATTCTTGTGTAAAAATAAAAAGAAATGCTAATAAAAGTGTTTAGCATTGTAACTTGATCCTTAAGCATAACTATAAATCTCAAAATTAGTAAAGGATCCTGTTCTGTGCTTTAAATTTCTCTGGAATCACATAAAATAATTTATTTTTCCATTAACAGGACATGATGTTTTATTTTTCAGTTCCTCCTGCAATTGTTCTGCTACAGAAATCCTTTAATGCCACTGCAGATCGAGGAGAGGCAATAACTTTGTTCTGCAGAGCCACTGGATCACCTCCACCTGAAGTCAGTTGGTATAGGTAAGTTCAGTTGAGGTCTGCACATTCTTTTAATGTGTTACAATTTTCTATCTAAATCCATTAATGGAACCATGCATTCTTTACTGAATTTTTAGAGCATTTGCTGTCCATTTCTGTTCTAACTACTAAAGCTAGATTGAGCATCAATAAGCATAAGAACTCACACAAATTCAATTGCACTCAGGTTACTAGTAAGTGAGATACATGTAAAAAGCAGCTCAGATACCTATTTGACATGATTCCTTCATATTTGATGTGAAACAAATAAAGCTGAAGCAATGAGTCCATATCTCAAAAACAATAGAAGCAAAAATCTCACAACTATTGCACATGAATGCATCAGATAAAAACATATGTAGTTATGCAATAAATAAATGTCCAATATAGATCAGCAATAGTTATAACAAAGATAATGTTTTCCCCATCTGTAAAAATAGGTTGTAACCCTAACTCTGCGTTTCAATGGGAATTTCAATGAGATTTAGGAGGCATGGCTTTAGACAACTTGAGAATAGGGCAATGTTCAATTGAATAAGTTTTTCATGCATTTTCTATAATTTTTAAAATGTAATGTTTTGAAAATGGTACTTCTTTTTAAGTTTGTGTGCTTTTTGATTATATCAATGACATGAAAATTGGGAACACTTACCATATAAAATTTGTAAAAATTTAAATATCTATACACTGTATATTCTTTCATTTTTAACAACGATATGTATCAGCCTTGGGATAGAAATTATCTCAGACTCACCATGCCAGTGCACATATCTATTTTAGACCTGAATAATTTGCATCTACTTATACGATTTCAGGTGAATTAAAAGGTCACTCACTGCATTTTCAGAGTGGACATAGAAGGATCTTTCATAAATTCTTAATCTCCTTTGGAATCATTGAACGATGCTAGATTAATTTTAAATGTTACCTTCCTTTGACTGACAACCTTACCTTAATATGCCATAAGTCAAATGTGGATTTAAATTTTTCTCTTGTGCAGTTTAAATCTCAGGAGATGTAAATAAATATAATGCAAAGGGGATTCCTTAACGTGGCTTAGAATTCAAAATTTAGCAAAAAAGAGGAAAAAGAAAAACAAAATATGCAGAGCCGAAATTAAAGAACTAATACTGAATTCCAACTGATGTTGAACATTCTGATTATTTAATGTCTTTGAAGTAATTTTTTACAATGTATGTCTTATCTGGCTAAACTCTGCTATTCTAAATGGCCTTGTTGTAAGACAACCAATATGAAGTTTTACATTGTTAAGAAAGAATGTATGAATTTCCACGTTTTGTGGATGTATCTGTTTACAGTTGTGGGTTTTTTTCAATATCTTATAGATATTACGGTATGTACATAGGCTAAGTGTATCTCCTGTCTGCTGATCGGAGCTTACTGCAAGATTTTCCTTTGGTTTGTCAGCCCCTGAGACGACTGACTTTTTTAAACCATTCATTAAATATATTTTTAAAGATTTTATAAAAGCTCCACGGGCTTATGTAGTGGATACTGGATTTCAATGAGAAAGCTTCTGTTCTGTTTTTATTTCAGGAACTATCTCGTAGTGAGGAAAATTGGCATATGTGCCTCCTTTCCCTATTCGTTTGTTTCTTTGGGTTTTTTTCTTTTCATTGTTTTTCTATTTTGTCTTATTAGGCTATAAATTCTTGGCAGTACAAAATATTCTTGCTTATTTATTTGCTGACAGTGAGAGGTTGTAAAGTGGTAAGTGGAAAAGGCCCCTGGTCTCTGTGATGACTTATCACTGATATGCAAGCAGAGGAACAAAGATGAGAGGAGCTAAATTATTTTTCCTGGAGGAAGCAAACTTGATTCTAATTGTATTTCAATACTAAATTTCTCCAAATTTCTAATATCTCTGTCCTGAACTGTTCAGGTCCCCTTCACTCACATATTAGTAGCCTGTTAAAAGGATTCAGAATCTGCTGACATATTGTCATTGGACTTATTTTGCAGATATGTCAAGATAAAGACCTTAATTTTCTAGACTATTTCAGATTCTTTTTCTTTAGCAATTTGACTGAACATAGGAAAACTAGATCAACATAATTCTTCTTAATTTTGAGAAAAATCTAGAAAACATGGTCAGTGATAGGAAAGTCTATCAAAACTGATTTATCTAATATTAATATGAATGTCATCCATTGAGAACCTAATTGAATCAGTTTATCAGAATTAATGGCCAAGGTGTCATATTTGCAGTTTCATCTTATTTAGTGTATTTTTTGATGTTGAATGTAAGTTGATATTAACCTCAGTTTTATGTACATATTTCTTTTTTGATAAACAAGTAGAATTACATCTTGAATTTGATGTTAATGTTGATTTTAGAAGGATTATAGCCTTTGGTTACAGCATGTTATGGGAATCGTGTTCGCCTTTATTTCCAGCTGTACTGTTTATCTATGTGAGTTCAGTCATTTTATTTAATTTGCCTCAGATTAACCATTTGTAAATCAGGAATGTGTAATAAAGTGACTTAATGGAAGTCTGTTTTCTGAATACATAACTATGCTAGGGAAAAGTCCAGAGAGATGGAGACTATTGTAACAGAGAATAATGTTTACTTGTAAAACATTCCAAAGTATACTGGGCATTCTGGAGAGCAGAGAAAAAGCTCTGATAAAAAGGGTGGGAATGATTTCTACTCCGTTCTGCTTGAGGATTTCTGTTATATTGTATAGAAAGTACATTCATACCTGTTGAGATGGTTCATCAACATTAAGGACTTGTTTTATACACAGTTCAGTGTTCTCCTGTCTTCGTTGCCTTTTAAAATGTGCTCTCACACCAGTTATTCTCTCATTACTCACTCTATTGAAGTTTCTTTAGCAAAACCTGCATAATTTGGATCTACCGTTGTGTGGTCTTACCTTCCTCACACTGATACTTTAATCAATTCAAAAAGAAATTCGCTTGATTCTGTTTTCTCTTATTTTCTTTTTTTCGTTTCCAATGAACTGATTTAACAGTTGAACTTCAGGTAGGGCATGAAAAATGGCTGTATTTTTAAAATCAATTGACAGAACTATAGAGGTGGCTCATATATCCTTCTGTGTCAACTGTAAAAAGCTGGATGAGACAGCAGTTTCAAGTTTTAAACTCTTTAAGAGAGTATCTAGTGCTTTAACTATTTATGTTGACCTTTCTCATTTCCAGGTGCTGACAGTGTTTAAGATCTTTTCAATTTAAAATGGAGGCATCTGAACTAATGTGTCAGTCTTTCTCAAAAACATGTTTGAAGTTGAAATTTATCAGTTTGAAATACTTAGTCAAGAAGAAAAGTCATCAAGTTTTAATTGCTGCCCTATTTAATATACATATATACTTTGTTGATATTTCATGAACCAAGAAAATCTAATTCTTTCACTACTCAACTGATACCTCTATTGAAGCTCAATTACATTAGTGTAAAGTATAACCTTCAGAGAAGCAATGCACTAATAGGGTTAAATTAGCCAGGACTGAAAGATAGAGATCCAGATGTACAGGTCATGAACTGGTAATCTTTATACATGTGAATAGTCCTGCTAAAAATACAATATTTGTTTGCATCTGTGGAGATATTGAACACTTGTAAAGTTTGACTGGCTCAATCCCCTTATCTTTACTGACAAGACTTAGAATTATCTGACAAAAGAGGTAATCCTCTTTTAATATCTTATTCATGTTTTCCTGTTCTCCAATATGAGCATCAATCTGAATCTCTCCAGCTCACCAGAGGTTCCAGGGAAATGTTCATAATCTCATTTCTGTCATAGATATAGGTTGTATTTCTGATAACAGAGACTTGGAAACTACTTCTGACCTTCAATATTGATCCTAACTGATATCACTAGACTTTTTTTGTGAAACCACCTGTGTGGAAAATTAGACCCTTTCTGTTCTGCCAAACAATTTCTACAATTTGCTTTGGAAAGGAAATGAACAAGTATCACAATAATGTCTTGAAATGGACGGCTAAGTGGATTAGAGTTATTTACAAAAATGTTACTAAAATGCAAGCTATATAGATGCCAGGGAAATCCTGTTAACAGATATTAATGTTACCAAGAAAGAAACAGTATTCCTTCTTGTAGGGGAAATATTTTTTTAGAAAATTTGAGGTATATGTAGTTATCAGCATTACGTGAGCAGAAAGAAAGTGACAAGCATTGTTGTTCAAATCTTGAAATAAAACTAGATGTTCTAAACTAGGCATATTGAGTAGAATAGAATATTTTGGTTATGCATAATGGTTTCATTTTACAAGTAGCTTGTTTTCAAGAAGTTGACATTGTCAGCAGGATTACCAGTGCTTATGAAAGTCAGGCAATTCTTACATAGGTGCTTATGAGAAGGTACCATTGATGATTCAACAAAAACAATATCAAAAGAAGCCTACAGCAAACAAGGCATAATGAGAAGGAAAAAAAAAATTAGAATTAGACTTTTGAAAAAAGAAGCTGTTTTGATAACTCTGTGTATGCCAAGTTGCTCAAATAGACTGGTCAAGCCTTGATCAACCCTCAGGATCGTTCACAGATTTTATTATTTCTGTACCATCTGGTCAGAACTCATTCTAACATCTGGAGACATGTCTGCTTACTAAATTGTGGCTGGCCAACAAGAACTGGAAGGAAATAATTTTGAAGTGTTCTTTATGGGCCAATAGGCTCTGAAGTAATTTAAAATATTATGTTGGTACATTGTTACTAATGTGAAGTGCAACAGTTACACTTTGAAAATACTTTTAAATGTTTCTCACACACGTATGTATTTGTGTAGCTGATTTAATTCTATAATGAAATGTTAATGTTAAATTTATGTTAAATGTAAGCCGTATGTTAGAGTGCTATTCACAAACATTTTTCTAACAGTTCTAGAATAAAGATCTTAAAGTATTTTTAATACATACATATTTTAGAACCTGACAATAAAATTTTGAAGCTGGGGTCTTGAACATCAAAATGCAGTCGAGAATGCTTTGCTTGTGCCAGAATGTGTGCATTCCTATGAAAAAATGCTGTCATCCTGCAGAACAATTTTAGTTGTGCTAAAATCAACTCTCTTCTATACATACTGCCAATTTATACTCTGTGAGTTAATGCATTTTCAAGACTAGCATAACAACAGTCTCTTTCCTCAAAGATTATTTTCGACATATTAGTGCTTTCAGAGCATATTTTTCCAGACTTTGGAACCTACTGATTGATTTATACATAATTTTTATTTTTTTAGGAATGGCAAACTTATTGAAGAAACTGAAAAATACATGCTGAGAGGAAGCAATACAGAACTAACAATAAGAGATATTAAAAATATTGATGCAGGTTCTTATATCTGTAATGCTAAAAACAAAGCAGGAAATGATAAAAAACAGACATTCCTTCAAGTTTTTGGTAAGTACTGCATTGTATCTTCCATCTTTCCTTTTTCGATGTAAATAGTAGGGAATTGAAGTTATAATTCACAATTTTCAGTGGAACAGTATATCTGCAAGGTGTCTACTGAAGCAGCACATCATTCTCTGCATAATTTTACAGATTTTTTTTTCCTCCCTGTTGGCTACTTTAGCCTTTACACCTGATTTCAATTTTGAAAATGCTATCTTCGGCATTTGCTCGTCTGCTATTCAGATACGGCACAATGGAGTGTTAAATTGTTAATTCACTCTGGTTTTCCTTTAAAAGTTGGCTGCTTGCAAGAAAACCAACAGAAGAAAGGGAAAAATTCTGAAAGCGGAAAACCCAGGTTATTTGGACTTCTAAGCTCAGTGCTTTTTTTTTAATAAGAAGACACCATGCAGAGGCTTTAAAAGTTGGCTGCTTGCAAGAAAACCAACAGAAGAAAGGGAAAAATTCTGAAAGCGGAAAACCCAGGTTATTTGGACTTCTAAGCTCAGTGCTTTTTTTTTAATAAGAAGGCACCATGCAGAGGTGTTCTTGATTTTTTATTCACTCTGGTTTTCCTTTAAAAGTTGGCTGCTTGCAAGAAAACCAACAGAAGAAAGGGAAAAATTCTGAAAGCGGAAAACCCAGGTTATTTGGACTTCTAAGCTCAGTGCTTTTTTTTTAATAAGAAGACACCATGCAGAGGTTTTTATTTTTCTTTCTTGGTTTTAAGTGCATGATTGCATATGTAGTCACAAAAACATCGTCTATTCTGAGTTTCAAAGGATAAAAGTAATAACATGAAAACTTAGTTCTCTTTTTATGCCCTAACACCCAATTTGTGTTCACGTTTCTCTCCTTTACACAGAGCTGATAATTCCTTTGAAGTTTTGTCTAGCTATAACCTAGTGAGTGTAGGCATCTGTGAGAATGTAGAAAACCTCTCTGAGAATCATTGTGCAGGATCAAGGCTGTAGCTTATTTATGAAAAACATACAAAAAAGTATTCTGATGGGGTTTTTTGACTTTAGTAGAGAGAAATATCATTTATATTTGAACAGCTAAAACTGGGATGCTTAGGATGATGGGAAATTTAATTTTACGTCCCAGTTAAAACTAATAATACAAAGTGAAACAGTTCTAACAGGAGAGGCTAATCTGGTAACTTGCACTGGAAGAGCTAAACTGTTGGGCTGAATAAAGCTGTCATTTGGGATCTGAGAGTCTGAAGCCATGGTGTCAGATGAACAGGCTTCCCGTGTCTGTGTGCCTTCCACTCTCTTTCCCATTTGGGAAACTCTTCAAAGCCCTTCATGCTGAGCTCTGTCCACTGCTCCATACTGCAGGTGGGTTGCCTAACCATTGGGCTACTTTGTTGTTCTGAGGTGCTTGAAAGTTATTCTCATTTGCTTTTTGAAGGAAAGATGATGAAATATGATTTTAAATTTTATGGAGAAACCAAAACATTGTATTCAATTGTATTTCCAGAGTTGTTAAAAAAAAAAAAAAAAAGAAGAACAAACAAAACAAAACTAATTTGAAGGAATAGGAAAGACTTGCTAATTTTGGTATGAGTTTAGGGAAGTTTCAGACAGAAATAATTTTGTATGTTATTCAAGTAATTTTAAGTATGGATGAAATTTGCATAGTTTTTGCCTGAGGCAAGTTAACTTTTTAATGCAAGGAAATGGGAAAAGCAGACACCAGACTAAGAGTATTTCCTGTATACATTCTCCCATCTTTTAGCAACAACTATTCTGGAGCCTCCCTGGACAACTAAATCAAAATAATTTAATACATACCATAAGTTTATTTCATGTGCTTTGAACCTACACATCCTTTTTATTTCCACAACATCCTAAAGTCTAAATTCCTTAAATTATTTCTTTCTTGCATGAAAATTATTTCTGAAGTTTAGAGCCTATTCATTTCTTTGGCTCATGATTCTCATTTTAAGATAAAACATGAAGAATAATTCTGTATGTCCTTTATGTCAAATGAGTGAGTTCCAGTTTATTTGGTTTCTCCTACTGTTGAAATGATTATCTCTGAACCATGCATTCCTGTACCTTTCTGATTATGATCCCCTGCTTGTGAAATGGCAAGGCAAGAATGGCACACAGGATTGATGTCATGGGGGGAACCTGGCTGTTCCGGTGCACGGTGCTGCTTCTGCTTTCATCTCTGTGCCTTCTCTCACATTCTGTTTGCCTCCCTGGGTCTCCCTGAGTACTGAACTGGTGTTTCCACAGAACTGTCTGCAATGTCTCCCAGGTCTCTTTTCTGAGTGGTTATAGCTAATGTAGAACACATCACTGAATATGTGTATTTAGAGTTCTTTTCCCTGTTTGCTTTACTATTGGACATATTTATATTAGATTACAATAATCTGTATACTGTTACTTTGACTTTAGGGAATACTATCATAAATTAAGCATCCTACCTTATTTGTAAACTCTAAACCTACTGTGATTTTAGTCTAATATTGCCTTTACAAAGTTCGCCTCTACTTTCAGTCTGAAAATGTCTAGCAGAGTTGTATTTTCTCCTACAAAGAACTTTACTTTTTCTTTTGTCTCTCTCATGAAGGCTAACCTCCCAGTCATATACAGCCAATGTCTTATTATACATTTCTTCCCCTTAAATGTATTCAGAAAAATGCAGTCTGAAAATGGCAAGACAGATGGCTGATTATTATAGCTAAATAGTACAGAAAACAGCCAGTTTGTTTTAAAATGACCTATTAAGTTACATTCTTCTTTCCCACTCCATTAGCTTGCTTGTATCACCTACCTACTATCTTTAATTTTAATTTACAGTGCAAGCTCCTTGGGGCAATGACTATTGTTTCTACTGGCACGGGGCTCTGATAGGGTTGAAACTGGTAATAACAGTAATGTAACCATAATGCAATAAAAATAACAGTAACATTATAGCATTCAGCATTTAAAATTTCTAGTACTTTTGAATGGACATGCCCATTTTAGTTCCATCTAACACCTGCATACGGGGTCACGGAATTGTCAGAGTTGGAAGGGACCATAGAGACCATCTAGTCCAACTCCCCTGCTAAAGCAGGATTGCCCAGAGCACATCACTCAGGACTGCATCCAGGTGGGTCTTGAAGATCTCCAGAGACGGGGACTCCACAACCAGCCTGGGCAGCCTGTTCCAGTGCTCCATCATCGTCACTGTAAAGAAGTTTTTTCTCATATTTGAATGGAACTTTCTATGTTCCAGCTTGTGCCCGTTGCCCCTTGTCCTATCGCTGGAAACCACCGAAAAGAACCCAGCTCCACCTTCCTTCGAGTTACCCTTTAGATACTTCTAAACATAGATAAGGTCTCCCCTCAGCCTTCTCTTCTCAAGCCTAAAGAGTCCCAGCTCCTTGAGCCTTTCCTCTTAAGGGGGGTGCTCTAATCAAACTAAACTACATTTAGTTTCCATACATTTCCATACATTTTTTTTTACATACAACATTTTCTTTTGTTTCCAGTGTAAATGTTAAAATGCTATTTTGTCCTCATATCAAATTCTTACTCTGACATTTTTTTCTGGAACACTGACACATATATAGAAACGTATATGCACACACATTGCTCTCCCCAGTTCCTTATCTTTGTTAGTGCTTTTTACCTGTTCTACTGAGTAAGACTTAGAAGAGTAAAGAAGGCCCTGTTTTACTCAAAGGTTTTCTTACTGATCATGATTTAGTATTCTCTGTCTGTCATCCTATTGTCTGCTATAGTTCTCTCTGTGTCGTTACCTATTACTACCTGAAAGATCTCATCCATATTAATGCTTAGGATTTGTGCTAAGATTTTTGATACAAATTCATTTATGTTTAGTGCTTCTGTATGGATTGAAACCATAGGTGTTCCTCCTTGAATTTTTTAAAAATATTTTTAGTATTTGTCTCAGGTAGCTAAATTTTTGTACCTCTTTTACCCATACTATTCAGTTTTATTGTTTCCTTTATTTGTTTTGTGATGTAATTAGCCATATATATATGTGCATTTATATACATGTAAGTAAGCATTTTGAATTATGAAATACCACATTTTTACAGGTATGGTCACTACAACAAAAATTTCCAAAATAATATAATGATAAGCGGTTGATTTAAGACCAGTCAAGAAAATTTAATCCCTTAAAACCTTCCTAAATCATCTCACTTTATAAGACCTAAATATGTATTTCTTCATCATTACTTCTCCAGAGCGATGGCAGTAGCATTCATTTACCTTATAATAAAAAAACTAATCAGGCTAAATGAAACAAAATTAGCTTTAATTAAAGACATATTTATGCTTTATAAGAACAAGGCTTGTATTCTGAGGAAAGGAGGACAGTTTTTATATCTTCATTTTGTTTGTTCTTTAATTGATCATTTAGTTGATGTCCTTAATCACTCAAATGCTTGATTCTGCCATTCCATGATGTGTAAACAATTGAGGTTTTCAACAAGTTTTCTCTCTTCTGTACTTACGCCATAGAAAGATATTTCTATGTCTTGAAATTTTTCTGTTTCTAGAAAGGGAAAAATACATTTTCTTTAATCAGAATTGGTGAAAATTGGGAAGGAGTTCTATCATATGTATATTTGAAGTTCTCTAGGGTATAGGTGTTTTACCTACAAAATAAATAAGAGGGTAGTCTTAGCTTATCAAAAATATTTAATTGGCATTTCAGTAGTTTGTTCCAATTGATTTCATGGAAGTCAAATGAGAGAAAAGTACCTCAAGAAGCATTACCCTTTATAATTATTCTATAGTTTAAGCACATACTATTTTTATTTTCTAGATGTCTTTTTAAATATACTCTGAATCTTATATAGGAGGAAGGTTTTTGCAGCTGTGTTCAATTTAACTTTTAGTGGTTATTGAGTAAAATATATGCTATTATCTTTTTTATCTGTCATCAGGCAGATGAGAGGAAATGTAATGGACCTCTCCTGTCTTATCGCTCTCAGATGTGTTCCAAATGTTAAAATTCAAAACATTTAGGTT